ACCCAGATCCTGCTGCACTCTGAAGTAGCCTCAGTGGCAGGAGAAGAGCAGTGTGTAATTTGCTGAGCAGCTAATAATGTACAACCCAAGGGTCTGGCCCCAAGGGCAAGGAGCCACTGATCCTGACTTCAAACAGTGTCCTCTGCAGCAACCCTGGTGCTGAGGAGTGATTAAGGGTGGGAACAGAACCAAAAGGCTCCAGCTCTTTCTCCCACACTCAAAAGCAATGCCACAATGGGCGCAAGGGGTGGATTGGGAGACCTTCCTCAGGGTGGAAATGGCAGCAAGTTCTTTTCCAGGCTTTCCTCAAAGGAAAAAGGAGCATTTTCCAGGTGTTAATTTAAGGGACTGGAGGGGCTGATAGCACTTTGCAGCTGGGAAAAGAAAGTCACTTCTTTCCCTCTCTACAGCCCTGCCAGGGGTGTACAGGTGATCTGACAGCACACAGTGGATTTCTTGTGCTGCTGAATTCTGGCACAAAGGCAAAATGATCAACCCCAGGGCCATACAGGTTCCACAATGAAGGGCAAGGGGGAGTTCCAGCTCCCTCTGCTACAACCAAGGATGGGTTTGCCACCAGCAGTGGGTAGTGCTGATTTATTCAAGGAGGAGGGAGAATATCCGCTTTTCTTGGAAAGGATTTTCCATTGGACTTGTATACAGGCTCTGCTTAGCCCAGAAGATGTCCTTGAACCCTGGGGCAGTGAAGACCTCGTGCTTTACCCCCTGGTTTTACTCAAAAGATAGAACTCTGGTGGGCTGGGAAAGGGCTGTGGGTCTGTGCTCAGGGTACCAGAATCCATCCTTTAACCACCAGAACTTGCTGCATCTTTAAAACTGCTTTTGGAATAGCATTGCTGAAGCAATTATTCTTCCCTTCTTACTTTAAAATCTTTGGCTTTTCCCTTCTTATTTTAAAAACTTTTGGCTTTTAATCATCCCTAAACCCACAATCCCTTGTTTGCACCTAAACAGGTGTACAAAGATATAGATGGGTAGAGTTGTATGATATGGGCTAAAAATGGAGGGAAAAGGGTTTCTTAGCCCAAAGGTTTGTCTGCTTTTTTCCAATTTTAGCACCCAATCCACAGGAGAAACAGTCCTTTAGTACAAGCCTTATAACCACATGTCATTCAGAAAAGTTTAGCTAAGAATTAAACTAAACATCCAATTTGGCTGCATGTGTAATGAATAAATAAAGCCTTTTCCTTTCATGTGCCCGTGCCAAAGTCAACAAGCTCTATTAGCTGATGAAACAATGCTGACGCCAAATAAAAATACCCCTGACCCATCAATATGGGCTGAGAGCTCGGCCCTGCATCAAAGAGTGTTGTCAGAACAAGAAATACTGTCTTGACACTTCTGGGGGGAGGAAAAATGGGAAAAACTCCCATTCCTGCACAAGGTGGGTTCCCTGTTCTCTCTCTGGGATGTCAAGGAGCAGCAAAACCATCCCATAATGACTGTCTGTTATGGACACCTCTCCTTGTTTCTGCTGGAATGATTTGGAAACCCCTTGAGCTGCAACGAGCTGGGCTTTGGTGTTTGCTTGTCCCCACTGTGTGTGAATTCCTCACAAAACCTGAGGAATTTTTATCCTGTGTGCAAAACGCTGATGCTTGGAAATGGAACTCCCAAGGGTCCCTGCTCAAAGAAGTGTTTCAGCATCTCAGAGCACCTCAGCACCTGGGAGCAGCCTGCCAGCTGTGCCACCCTCCTCCTCCTCCTGCCCACGAGGGTGGGAAGGTGAAGGAACACGAGATCTCCTCTCTGCCCCATGGGGATGTGCAGCTTGGCCCTTTCCCAGCTGGGCCTGCCCTGCAAACCCCTCTCCTTTGAAATCCACGTTCAGCTGCTCTGTGCCGTGCCCTGCCTGTGATCTTTGAAGTCTCACCCCTCCCTCGACACTCTTGGTTTAAAAGATCTGTTCCCTATTAGTTTTCAGTCACACTTTTAGTTTCATTCAGGCTTTTATTTACTCATCCATCTTTCCTCCTGCTCCCACCATTCCCCCTGCCCTGCCAGGAGGCAAAGTACAATTCATTTTTCAGGTGACCCTGCCAGGAAGGCATTGCCATGAATAGGAACAGGTCCAGAAACTGCGGAAAAAGCAAAACCCTTGACTTTAATAAGCAGCAAAACGCTTCCCAATCAGAAGGAAGCAGCCAGATGTGACCAGAATTGTTATAAAACACAAAGGATGGTCCTCCAAATAATTCCTGCCATCTCTTGAAGCCTCCTGGTGCAGAAGTCTTGTGAGCACTGCTGGAGCTGTGGCAGGGCAGTGAGTGATCCTGCGGGCTGTGCAGGGCACATTTGCTGTCTGACAAGGTGCTGCTGTCACCAGGACTCTGCTCCTGGCCTGCCCTGCATGGGGACATGGTGCAGCTCATTCCTGTCTGCTCCTGACTGTCACCAGGACTCTGCTCCTGCACGGGGACATGGTGCAGCTCATCCCTGCCTGGCTGCCGTGGTCCTGACTGTCACCAGGACTCTGCTCCTGCACGGGGACATGGTGCAGCTCATCCCTGCCTGGCTGCCTTGAGCACGGAGGGGTGTTTGTGTGTCTTTAGTTTTGATTGCAGCTGTCTGAGCAGGGCAGGAGCCCCGCTGGGCTGCGCTTAATTCTGTGTAACGCGAGTTTAGCCGCACGGACAGTCCCCTGCTGTTTTGAAAGACACCTAAGAAAGCAATACAGTCACCGTAAGAACTTCTCTGCTGGAAAGCCAGGCTCCTCTGAGAACCCACCTGTTACAAGGAAATAATTAAAAACCTGAAGAGAAAGGATAGCAGGACACCAAAAGGCACCTGAGCAGGTTGGCATGAGGAGCTGCCCTGGCTTTGTGCGAGCTGCCTGCCCTCCCCTCCGCGGGGCTGTAACGATCCGTGGGCAGAGACATCGATTTCTGCCCAGCACTTCCTTAGTGCAGGGGGAGCAGAACTGGGCTCACATCCTCTGCGGGCTCTGCTCCCTCCCCCTGCACGTCGATAGGTGTCAAGTCACAACCCAGCACCGGCGATGGAAGGGCCATTTCTTGCTGAGCCCACTTTCCGCTGGCCAGAAGGGGATGCTCAGCAGTAAGTGGCCACGTGTCATTCTTGGTGAGAGAAGCAGTGAAAATTTACCTTGATGGCCTCCCAGCCCACACCAGTCCAGTCCTAAGGATGGGCTGGAACCTGGATCTCTCCTGCAGCCACCTCTTGCTCTGTGCTCTGGGTGCTGGGTGGGCTCCTTGCCCACCTCAGCCTGGCTGCTCCTCCTCTGCTTTGTTTTTATAACTCTTTAATCCTCTGGAGAGAACAGCACTGGTGTGAGATAGGGGAGAAAGGGCCGTGAATCCAGTGGTATGTCACAAACCCATCCCCCCAAAAAAAAATCTAAAAAATACTTTACAGTTTGTTATTTCTGTTCTCAGCTTGATTCTTCACCAGGGAATTGCTCAGGGACAGTGCTGTGTGTGCTGGTTTCTGTTTTGGGAGGCGAGAGCCAGGCCAGGCAGGGGTGAGGCAGGGACAGGGAGGCAAATCCATGTTTTGCATTTGTGTAGCTCTCATTCACGGCTCTACACGGTGTTTGCAAGTGTTACAGCACATGGCAGGCGTACGCTACAAGGAAATACTGCCGGTGCCCAGAATAGAAAGATTTCAGCTCAGTATTGACTGAATCAAGAGATGCAGGGAGCTGATTGCAGTTTGTGTCTTTTGCTTCCTTGGAGGTCAGTGGAGCTGAAGTCTGGAGCATCCTTAACCAGAGAGGGTTTGCAAAGAGCTGCAGTGAGTGCAGTGGGAAGCAATCTGGTGTTGTCCTTTTAATCCTCCTGCAGTCAGTCACATAAATGGAAATACAGACTGACCCATCAATAGTTACCAGTTTTATTTGCAACCTTGGACTTAATCTTTCTTTTCAAACGATCTTTTAAAAGGAAAAGCTGCTACTTATCTGGAATTAGTGGAAATGTCTTCCCTGGTACTAATGAGAGCCCTTAGGCTGGAGGGAACTGGGTAACTGCTGGCAGCATGTTCTGATGATCATAAATGTTTGGCACCCCTTGGTGCCACAGGCACTTTTCTCTTGGATTTTCAAGAGGTGCCCTGGCTGGCTGGGCCCAGGGTGGCAAACTGAGGCATGGGGTAGCACTGGCAATAGAAAATGGGACTCTGCACTGATTTAGAGGGAGAACTCCCATTCTCATTATAGTAAAAGAATAATATACTCTGTTAGAAGACACTCCTTGTTCAGCACTCAGCCCAGTGGAAACCCTGCCAGCATGGGCTGGCTCGGTGTCTGTCCCTTAAATGTGTGCCTGGACCACTCCTGGGGGACCTTTGGGAGGGGGCATTACTGTTTTGCTCTTTGCTTTGACCCCTGAACTCTTTAACAATGTAAAGCCTTGTGAATTATAAATCAAATGTTCCTGCTGAGCTTTGTGGTGCACGGAATGAAATGCAATGATTAATATTTAAGAGAAAATAAGTTAAAGATTTTAACTACAAGGGCAAATGTCTATCCACAGAGCCTTTTCAGAAGAGAGGGAGAACCACATTTTCAGGAGCTTTAGTGAAGTTTGTGGCTGTCAGACCAACCACCAGAGCTGGGGGTGTGCAGGGGCCAAACTCCCCTGCCCTGCCCTTCATGCTGCCTCAAACTGAGACCATCTGCCCACATCCTATAAAATCCCAGCAGTGCTGGAGCATCCCTTAGGGAAGGGGCTGGCGAGCACACCCCACACTTCAGCAAGTAGAGGAGCTGGGTGCTTTTCCAAAATCCAGACCTCACCCAGGACTTGTTCAACCCTCCCTGACTCCTCCTCACCCTCCCTCCAGCATGCCAGCCCCATCCCTGCTGGGCAGGGTGCCCTCTCCCTGTTCTGCACACTGACAGCTCCAGGCAGTGCCCACCCTGACCCAGGACATCCTCCCAGTGGCACCTGGGCTGGACACTGCCTCCAGCCACCAGAAGAGCCTGTTCTAAGCCAGCAAATGAGGGAGCAAACACTTACATGGGTGCAGAACCTCTCCGGAGGGTCCCCACAAGTGATTCCTGCCGGGTCCACCCGCACGGTCACGTAATCCTTCATCCGCATGGCCTTGGGCTGGCACGCATAAAACTCCCATGAGGGGCCATCGTCCGTGGTCACCCAGGACTTGCAAATGTCATACTGTGCCATGGCCAGGGGCACGCAGTGCACGAGGAGAGCAGCCAGGTAGAGCATGGCAGCTGCGGCCAGGCGCGGGCGCCCTGGGCGAGGGCAGCGCCGGGAGTCCCGAGGAAGGCGGCGGCTGGGCTAGGGGTGGCTCTCGGGATCAGCATGGAAACTCCTCATCTAAAAATGCTCCACTCGAAGGAGATCCACGCAGGAACAGGGATGATCCCACTCTGCACGCTGGACCTGGAAAGTTCCTCTTGGCACGGAAGCCGACTTAGCAATTCACTTGATTGGGAAAGTTTTGGCCAGAGTTGCTGATCAGTGGTCAAAAGTCTTCCTTAACCTCATTTTTCCCCCTTTTATTGTACGAAAGGTCTTCCAAATCAGCATGAAAACATCTAGAGGTGACTCCAGTCAATCAATACAAAGATCAAGTTCTGAGTTGCTGATGAAATTTGATAGGAGTAAATTGGAGAGGCCGTGAGATGGTGCTGGATCAGGTTTTCCTCAACCTTCTGCTCTGCTCCAACTGCGTTGCTGTGGAAAGTGCCTTAAACTGTGTCTGCCTTAATTACTGGGGTGTTAGAACATTTAGCACATAAAATAAATAGAGCATCTGGCCATCAGTACAACTCTGACAAGAGAGACTGCTTGGAGCTCGGAGCTGAAATTCCTTTTTCCCAAAGGATGGTTGTGTCAGCGTGAGCAGGTCGGTGCCCAGACCCGTGGTGGTCCCAGCAGCTGCTGGGTGGTCACTGGGGTGACTGGGGCAGGGCTGGCTTTGGCTTCTCCCGCTGTGTCCTGCGGTGGTGGCGAGGATTCCTGTCCAATTCTGCCTTTTGGCAACGGAGCACCAAGTTCCCAAAACCTTCAGCTGCAATCCATGGGGCTACCTGGGGTCTCCTCTCTCTTTCATGGTCAGGGCAAAGGCAGAGCTCATCAGCAGAAGGGACCTGCGAGAAATTGGAAGACAGATTAGGTGGGAGCAAGGGGGGACAGTTGAGCACGAAGAACAGGGGTCCCTCAGGAGGCAGAGCTCTCAGCTGGGCTTGCCAAGCCACCAGACAGGTTTTTGTAACAGGGAGATATACAACTTTAATAAAAAGCAATCCATAGTAAGATGCTTATGGCTTTTCTGCTGTCTGGGAGAAGGGAAGGAGCGCTGCCCAATTTAAGGTATCTGCTTTGCAACAGCAGCTGGACAACAGGAGCTCTAATGGGTCTTCAAATAACATCAAGAAGCAGCTATGGGTCATTAGGAGATGGGGAATATGCAGACAGAGAAGGGACAGACAGACAAATTGATAGTCCTAAAAAGATAAGCAAATAAATAAGACAGCTGGGGAGACAGATACATTGTCCAGCATCCCCACATATGATTTATCTGAACAATAACATTTAATAAAAAACAATTTAAAGTCCTAATAACATTTAGGTTCACCTAATACAAAGAGCAATGACCTTCCCAGTATTCATTTCAGGTTAGAACAACATTTCTGCAATTTTGTTGTCTTTCCAGTAGAGCTATAAAAATTGTAAGTAATTACAAAACAAAATGACAAAGAACCGAAGCGGGGAGGGGGAAAAAGTCAAACCCTCTCTCAGTATTAGATTCAGGAGGGAGATCTCATCCAAGAAGGTGGGAGGCACATATCCAGAACAGAAATTTACCTTTGGATAATTCCCTTTCTACTTCTTTCCCCAACTTTTCTTTCACAATTGAGGCATATCTGCTTCAACAGCATGCTTAGCATTTCCTTTCTCATGAAGCTCAGTTACTAAAGCTCAGAAACTCCAGGTTAACACATGCATTGATCCGTGTTCAGGGGCTTCACACCGCTCTGCTACCATCTCCCTTTCCCCCCTTTTTACTTGAAAGATTGCTGATTGAGATGAATGAGTTCAGAAAAGAGAAGCTGTCTCTCATGCTTCATTGCCAGCTCTCTACGAAGAGCCTGTTATAGCTGCGTTGGACCTGAATAAACTCCCAGAAAAAGAATAGACTGGCTGCTATTTTTATATTATGAGTAAATGTAGTAAAAATAATAAGGCAGTGTGACACAGTGTTTATAAGTCCTACTTACATCAGAGCTGTCTTTTGAGTTATAACAAGTCAGTTCCTAATTATTACATCAAACTGGTCACTGCCAAGTGCCTGGTAAGAGTGAGAGTGAGAGACTCTGGTATTGTGTAGAAAACAAGCAGGGTAGTTTTAATGAGGACTCCGGTGCTGTTAAGTTTATGGATCTATTTTCACAGCCTCAACAATTATATCTTGCACTTGAATGGCTGTCAGGGAAAAACCCAAGTAGAAAGAATCTATAATATCTATTAGTGTCTTGTTATGCTGGCTAAATGTCACAGATTCCCTGGGAAGTGAAAATTTGCTGGAAAAAATGTATTTACTGTCAGTTCATCAGCTAGGCAAGCGGGTTTGGGGTGAAGTCTGTGGCTCAACACCCACTTAGCCAGTCCAGTCCCTTTGCAGAAATAGTTGGAGTGTTGCTCTGGAATGAGCCAACATACTGCAAACGGGGCAGAGAGGCTCCCCAAATTAAAGCTTTCACCCTGCTTGATTTGGTTTAGTTCTTAGAAAATAAATCGTCACCTGATATTATTAAGAAACTGCAGTTCATGGGAACAAATAGAATCAATGCTCTTTGTTCTCTTTGAAGAGTACTCAGCACTCACTGGGGACTGATAGCCGGAGTATTAAAAACACAAAATTAGATTGTGTCTTGACTTAGCTGGCTCCGGGTTTTTTTCTTATTATTGGATTAACACCCTATTGAAATAAAGGGACAACGCTGAGCAACAACTGAGCTGCTCTCGGATTAAGAGCAGAAAGTAAACTCAATGAAGGAGTTTTTAATTTTCTCTCAGAAGTGTTGCTCTCGCCATGAACTCTCCGCTCTCCCCCCGCGCTCGGGGAGCGGGAGTTGTTCTCCCTCTCCCTCGCTGCCCATCCCTTCCCCGCACCCCGGACAGCGAATTTGGGGACCCCGCGGGGGGACGGGAGCCCGAACCCCGCGACAGCGCTGCGCGGCTCCAGCAGAAAACCTGGAAATCCCACTCGCATCCCGCCGCTCTCCCTGATGGATTCGCGGTTCCCGGCAAAACCCGATGCCGCTCCCGCTCCGCCCCATCCTCCCCGGTTTCTTTTACCCCGAAGGACTTTGGGGGGCTGCCCGGAGCGAGGAGGGGATCGGCGGGGCAGGGGGAGCCGGCGCGCTGGGCTGGGGGAGCCCCCCGGCTTCCCAAAGTCCGGAGCGGGGAAATAAACCCCATCCCGCGGCGGGGATGCTCCGGGGAGGGGGACAGAGAGCGGGACACCCCAGCAAAGAGTGGGAACAACTCGCAGCGTTGGGGAATGGGGCAGAAGCCGGCGCTGCCCGCCCCCCCTCCGCCCCCGCTTTCCCCCCATGCCCGGCGCTGCGGGTCCTTACCGGGAGCGAGCTCTGCGGCGCGGGGCTCCCGGCGGAGCAGCCAACTTCGGGGCCGGGGGAACCCCCAGAACACCCCCAGCCCTGCCCTGCCCAGCCCTGCCCAGCCCTGCCCTGCCCTGCCCTGCCCAGCCCTGCCCTGCCCAGCCCTGCCGGCAGCGCTGCGCCGCCGGCCCCCAAGGGCAGATGGCCGGGGGAGCTTTGTGCAATCCCGGCTCCCCTCGCAAGTTAATGCCGAGGCTGAAATCCCTTTTGCTCTCACTTTCAATCACAATCGGAGCTTTTATCTCCGTGCCTGATCCCGGCTGCGTAACTTCCTCTGTGCAGCTTTAGCACACACCATCCCACCGGCGGCAATGGGCTTCTTAAAGGTGCAGGAGGAAATGCAGCGGGGGGAGGAGGAGGAGGGAAGGGAAAACCACCCGAGGAAGAGGAGGCTGCGAGCGGGAGCCTTCAGCCCCGGCGGCCCCGCGGCTCCCGGTGCAGCATCCGCGCCGTCCCGCTGCCCCCGGCTGGATAGCGGCAGCCGGGAATGCCGCTCCTCGGGGCTTCTCTTTTATTTTTTTCCTTTAAGAGCTTAAAAAAAAAAAAAATTAAAATCATGAGCTCATGTTTGCTCGAGAGAGAGAGAAAAAAAAAAAAATCTCCAGTCACGAGGGTTTCCCCACACGTGTAAGTCCTCGCTTGGTGTGCCCTGAACATTTTGGGGAGGCTTCTGCTGGTGGAGATGCTGTAAATGAGGCTGCGTGCGTGTGTGTTGGGGGAAGAGGGGGTGGTTGGAATTAATAGGATAAACAAAGCAGGAACTCGGAGATGGGGAAATCAGATGGCTGGGAAATGCTGGATACTGGTGGGAATGTGCTGTGAGATTTAAACGAAGCAGGTTTTGCTTTGGGAAGGTGGGAGACTGTGAGGTGTGACAGCTCCTTCCAGCACGGGGCTGGAGAAACAGCTGGGGTTGCTTAGGTCAACTCTGTTGTGTCCATGCTGAGGGACAGAGGAGGTTCCAGCTGTGGAAAAGGTGGATAAAACTGTAGCAGGTAAAGGTCCAAGTTTCCCTGCACCAGGCAGCTGCTGAAGACAGAACTCCTGAGCAGCGACAGGTTTTTGACATGTGGATAAATGACAGCTCATGGAAAAACGACAGTTCATTTATGGGGAGGAAATCCAAGGAATCACCACTGCCTCCTATGTATACAACCACCCAAAAATGACTGCTCCTTCCTAACCAAGAATTCAGTGATTTCTAAGCCAGAAAATGAATTGTCCATCCTACACGTGGTTTGAACCTTGTGCACTCAGTATTTTGTTATATGGTTTCCTTTGACCCATTGCCCTGGGGTCTCTGGGTGGCCTCTCCCATTTAAGAGTCCCTGGAAAACTCACGATTCATCCTGCAACCAGACAGAGGTGATTTAGAGCTGTTCTGGGAAACGTTTCCCATATTCTGGAGCGTAAGTGAGATTTATGAAATGCTGGCATTGTGTCTTGACTGTGGCCCAGCCTAAATGCGACGCTGATGCACGGGGTGGTCTTTACCTTCAAGGATGTCTTTAATTCTGGCTCAATTTCCACTCCAGGACATGGTCTGATGCTTTCCACATGGTAACTTCTCCTGTAAACACTTATTTTACAGCAGCAGTATAGCTTAAGTGAGAAGCACTGGCTGGGAATCCGGGGCTGGCTAATATTCCTGGATTTCACTTTGTGCCTTTAGGTCTGCTCTGTAGTAATGACTCCCCTGGAAATTCCCCACGTCTCACTTATTACTTCTTTATTAGTTATTATGGTACAGTAACAGGATAAAACGGAGTTGGTATTTCATTTTCATTCCCTCTAATAGCCACGGCAAAGACCAAGTGGTGTGCTGATTATTGACATCAGAGTTAAGTGATATGCACGCATCATTAGGTTTCAATTGGAAAGAATAACAGCACAGTGTGAGCCGTCACACTTCTAAACTCCGTGGCATTTAAGGAAAAACCAAAGTCGTTTTTCACAGCCCTGCTAGCTCAAAAGATCACAAGCTGGCAATAATACTTGTATAGACACAGGTAAAAGGCGCTAGCTCCAGGCAAAGCACCGGAATTAACCAGTGAGCACAAGCCCCCGGAGATGCTGGCAACAGCTGTGGGGCTTGTCCAAGGTTACACCGCGGTTCAGGAGATCCTTGGAGGATGGGAATCACCCAGCTCCTCGCAGGTCCTGATGTGGGAAGGAGAAGGATTGTGTGTGGCACTCCCAGCCCCGGCAGCGGCAGTGCTGCTGTCACAGCCTGGAGGCAATGGGGAAGAGTTGGAATAATTGTTTCATTTTAGACTCTTTGCATTCTTTTACTCAAGCACGTTTTGCAAATACTTAATGTTGGGTATAGTTTTCTTCTGGATGGGATTTCTGTGGGGAGGAGAAATGGATGTGTTTTTCCTCGAGGGAACATCTCTGCACCTTCCCTCGTGCTGCCTCTTCCCACAAGGAGAGCACAGTTGCAAATCAATGGGTCTGCGTGGAGATTTAATTACTCCAGCACAGGCAGGGGTGGAGAATAAGGCCCTTAATATTTAATACAGCCTCTGCTCTCAGAGGGATCCCCAGGGCTCAAGGGCCAAATGTAAGCCCATTAAAATCAGGTGTAATTCTATTGACATATGTGGGCTCACACCTGTTTATACCAGGGCTATATCTGGCTCCCTAAATGGTGCTTTTGACATGCATGGAAGAAGAGGGAAGTGTTTTGCCCACTTGGGATGATAGAGGATGCACTGGAACAGCAGAAGGTAAATGTGACACCTGGCAGTCCCCACTGGCCGTGGTGATGTGCTCACTAACACCTCAGCTGAGCTGAGCCTGCTGAGAGCAACCCGAGATCACTGCCAGAATAATAACCAGGCTTATAAAGGATATTTCATTTGAGGATACATATTGCTGTATCCCCTATAACAGCAATACATTCTTTTTATGCTCCTTATCTAGCAGTGTGCGGCCAAGGATGTCAAAGTGCCTCCTGCAAGTGAGTAAGCATTTTATTAAGTGGGAACACATGGCTTGGAAATGTGCTCTGAGCCCATCAGCAGGCAAGAGACCCCTTTGTGAGGGGTGAATCTGCCAAGCACAGCTCTACCCAGACCTTGTTCCAGTGGTAGCTTTCTCCAGCCCACCAGGACCTCTGGGGAGAAGTTTGGAAAAGGAAGGAAGTGACTTAAATGTGGTTTTTTTGGGATGTTGCAGAGGATGGAGGCAAAGGCTGCTTGAACCTCGCACTTCCAGGGGGGATCTGTCTCATCTCACCACCCTTGTGCTGCCCTTTTGTTCTCAGCAAGCTGAAAGTGAAGACAGCTCCCAGCTTGATCAGGATGGGAAGGTTTGTGCTTCCCAGCTCCTCGTGCTCGGTGCAAAGACAAAAATCACAGAGTTTTAGAAGGCAGAGAGACAGAATATTTTGTAGTTAGGAGAAATGCTGGAAAACCCACACAAAGCCTGAGAAACTGAGCTCTGGCAGGCTGGCAGGGTGGGTGGGGGACATTTATTTCCTTGCCCTCCTGCCCAGGCTGCCCTGCCCTGCTCCAAGGAGCAGGAGAGGCAAGAGCCGAATGCTTCAGTCCCTGGAGTACTCTCCACATTTTTCTTCCTTTGTGAAAGCTTCTGGGGAAATGGCAGAGAGCATCTGCTCAGGGAGGGGAGGCTTCCCCGGCTGCCTCCTCCCACCCTCCCGCACAAGACCTGGGGATGCATTTTCTGCAGCTCAGGCGCTTTCACAGGGCCCTGAGTGAATTTTGCCCTCCCTGATTAGATAACCAAAGGAGCAGTGACTGTACTCTCCAGAGAGAAGATGCTGTCTCTTTCCTGCCAGAAGGACAGCTGGAGGGAGGGTGGGATTTTCAGCATGCAAGCACTTAGCCAGATCAAGGAAAATGGGATGCAAAGCATTTTAGGCTAAGAAAGGTTGTTGTGCAGGGAAACATGAGGCTGCTGTTCTGTTCGGGAGATAACGCTTCTCAAAACGCTCCTGCGTGCCAAGCTGCAAGCCTTGACTACAGCAGGTCATTGCCTCTTTAAGGAAAACAAGCATGACAAGTCAGAAAAAAAAAAAAAAAAAAACATCACTGTCTGTGCTGAAAAACTTTGATCATTTAAATATTATTGATGTGCATTAACCCCAGCAGAGATGGGCTGGGTGATGGGAAGTGCTTCACCTTGACACAGGGAAAATATGTTGCTTTCTGCTGCCTTGTCTTTTGTTTCATATATCAAATAGGAGCCCAGCCAAGTGAATCAGCTCAGGAAGCATTTCGGATGTGTTTGATTTTTTGGGGAAGGTAGAGCTTTCCTCCTCTTTACCAGCTGTGGGGGTGTAAGCGTGGATAAAAACAGGAGGACTGTTTAAAGGAGGGATCTATAATTAACAACCCCTCAGAAGGGGAACTTTCCTTTTAACTTACTATTAAAGTGGAAGTGTTTGGAGAATATACAGTTTTGGCTCAGGGGATCTCCTCTGTATCCTTGGCTGAGCCTTGTGAATTCCTCTAATTCCTGCCTGAGAGAGTGTCTGGCTTTAAAAACAACTCCTGCTACCCCTTGGAGGACTCACCTCAGTCCCTGGGTGGATTCCTGTGCCCAAGGAGGGCAGCAGAGGGAGAGGAGCTGTGCTCCCCCAGCATCCCTGAGCCCTGTCCTGGCAGGAGATGCCTTCCACAAAAGCTTTTTCACCTGAGGAAGGAGCATGTCACTTCTAATGGAGCTGACAGCAGCAGGGAGGGGCTTTAGATTAGTGGCTGAAGAACACACTTGTAATGAGTGAAGTAATTGAATAAATGCTGACAATTTGATGTGGAAAATGCATAATCAGCTGGCTGTGGAAGGTTGGCTTGTTCTTTTTTCCTTCTTTCCTTAGCACTGGGATAAACACATTCATTCTCTCCCAAGCAGGTGATGTGTTGAGCAGCACAGAACCCGCAGACCCGGGCACATGTCTCCCTCCCAGGCACACATGTGCTGATTCCCTGATAACTGACCCAGTTATGCTAAGATGCTATTAAGAAATACACATGTAATAAATCTCAACACTTAACTTTGTTCTTGGGTCACCTGCTGGTTGAACACTCCCTTCAGTCATTTTGCTGGCTCCCAGATCGCAGTCCCTGTGTCCCTACTAGAGAAAAAGGTGCCAGTCCTGGGTAGTGACAGATGAGACCCAGCCCAGTTGGCACCAGAGCTGATCCTGCAGGAATAATTGTGATTTCAAGTGGCTTTCAGATCCCAAGCACAGCTAACAAACTGTGGATGCAGACAGTAGAGCTGACATAATCCAATGCAGTGACTTTCCCTACCCAACCACCATCTCAGCTCTATGCAGATGGAAGCTCAGTGAATTTCTTGTCATCAAGCCCCCAGTTTTAGCGTGACAATGGGAACAGCATCATCTGTGTCATGTATGTTGGAAGCAATGAATAGAGAGCTGAGCTCACTCATCTATTTGCATATTGAAGATATGGAAAAAACTCCTCTTGCTTACTCTGCTGCCTACTCAAATATCTGTGAATCAAGGAGGAG